CAGAACACATGGGGCACTGCCACCATCCTCCTCCTCATCCTCCTCCTCAGCATCACCCCGCGGCCCTTAAGCTCAGCCCTGCCCCTCATCCCCACCACCAGCTCCACCACCACCATCATCATCATCATCATCATATGGCAGGGCAAAAAAATCTCTAGTCAAACGGCAGCGTTTGGCCCGACGCAGTCACCAGCAGCCCCTTACCCCGTCTCTCACCCAGCCCAGGCTCTGGCAGCAGGTAGGGACTTCTTCATCCACAGGGACCTGCCGGCCCCACTCATGCCAGGGCTGACTGAGCAGCACCCCGCTGCAAGTTCTCACCATGGACTGTTTGTCTCAACAACAGGTAGCTACCCCGGACACCATGGTCACCACCACCACTCAGAAGCTGGGAATCCCTCTCTGTTCACTGGACTCCATGAGCAGCCTCCCCATGCAGCTCCAGGTGGCCATCTAAACGGACAGATAAGACTGGGGTTACCTGGAGAAATGTACGCCAGGTCTGAACATTTCACTCAAGTACCAGCATCCAGGACAGAGCCTTTTGCTGCTTCTTCACTTCATAGCTACGGTGGCATGAACCTGAACGTGAACCTGGCTCCACATCACGGCCCGGGTGCCTTCTTCCGTTACATGAGGCAGCCCATCAAACAGGAACTCATCTGTAAATGGATTGAGTTGGATCAGACTCCCAAAAAATTATGCTCGAAAACTTTCAGCACGATGCACGAGCTGGTGACTCATGTCACGGTGGAGCACGTTGGAGGACCCGAGCAGTCCAATCACATATGTTTCTGGGAAGAGTGTCCAAGAGAAGGCAAACCTTTCAAGGCCAAATATAAACTCGTAAATCACATCAGAGTCCACACAGGTGAAAAACCTTTCCCCTGCCCTTTCCCAGGCTGTGGCAAAGTGTTTGCCAGATCAGAGAATCTCAAAATACACAAAAGAACTCATACAGGTCAGTATGTAAAGCTCTCTTTACTCTCTCTCTCTCTGTTATTCAGCATACTGTTTTGCTTTATTTTGTTTTGTTTGGTTTGTTTGTTTTTTCTAATGTATCCTTTGCGTTGTTATTGAATGCACTCCAAGCACTTCTGGAAAATAAATTCTCGGATTTGTTTGCTTCTTTAACGTTTGGAGGAGAGGGGAGAAAAAAGTGGGGGGAAGAGGAAGCGAGAACAAATCTCAGAATTCTCGTCCATGTTTTTTTCTGGTTGTGCAGAGAGGCTGCTGTAATTTTTATGCGGGTGGATCTGTGCAAATATCGAGTGATATAGCTACTATTTCTGCTTATTCACACAGGCGAGGATTTTTTTTTTTTTTTGGCAATTTGAAGTAGTTGGGAAGAAAAAATGAAATCATTGTGCAAGATCACAAATTAAAAGTGAACAATAGAAGTTACAACTTGTCTAGTCAGTTTTGACTGATGTCGCTGAGATGCTGCTGCTCGAACATTGTGAGAATAACACAGCTGCGACCTTTTCGTTCAACAGTTTTGTTTTGGGCAGAGGGAGTTTCAAATGTTTGATCTGAATAACACTGACATTTTTAATGAGCATTGCCTTCCAACGACTCTCTGCATTCGCAAATATGGGGAGCTGCAAGTTCTGATTCTCGGGAGGGAAAAGAAAAAAAAGAAGAAAGAAACACGGTATTGTTTCGGCCTGTACATTTTGAAATGTCATTTGCAGGTCTGTTAAGTGAAATTGGGACATGTGTCAGAAACATCTGTTAGTTCTAGTTAACAGAAAATAAAGTAAATCGATGGACGGTCTTGCAAAACTACGTTTGAACTCTTCCGGCCAGGAAAGCATTTATAATTAATGAAATTGCACGTAGAAAGTTTTCACACTTCCAGGAGCAGCTTGTGAAGTTGTATTAATTAGTTTAGCAGCCGGTGTTTGTAGTCTGTACTGCTGGCTCCTTTTTTTGTATTTTTTTCCAGCTTTTTTTTTTTCCCCCCTCCTCCTCTGAAGAAGATAAGAAATAAGCCCTTTTTGGAAAATTTAATCTGTTCCAGTATAGGGGTTTCCACCTCCCACCCTCTTCTGTACAGCGAGGGAAACTACATAATCCTATTGAAAGATCTGCTTACAGCCAAACGATTTTTTTCGCCTTCCAGTTCATAAAACTCCCCTTCCCCCATGCTCGGTTCAGGGCTTGACCTTCCAGGAGCTGCATTTTTATGATATAACTCGACGTGATAGAAGATGCAGAACGTATACTAATTTCGTATCGCTATCTTCTAAACATAGCACGGAGATTTTACAGTGACCGTCACTCGTCACCTAATTATTTTTCCATCGCTCTATGAATAGCTCATCTGTGTGCGGGGGGGGTGGGTGGGGAAGAGAGAGGGGGCGATGGCAAAGTTGTGTTCCTCTGCTGCCTTCTTGGCCCCCTTTTTCCAGGAGAAAGGGATATCCCCGGGTCACGTTAAGTTGTAGCGGAGCCAGCTCCTTGTCGGATCAGCACAGGTACAGCCATTAACCGGGAGAGCTCATCCCTTAATGACAGTGTTTTTCTTAAGTAAACAAACTTTTACTGCTCTTTAACGGCCTCACTGTTTGAAGTCTCTGAAGCAGAAAATGGTTAAATTCTTGGGAAAACTGACCTACATCGGAGAGGCAGGTTCAGAGCAGACCCGAGATCGGAGTTTTGCGTTTATTAAACATCATTCCGCGTGTCTGTACTTTTCGCTTTAACTTTCCCGGTGATTAATTGCTGTATTGTGAAAACTCCTGCAGGGCCTTTATGGTTCCACCGTTTCTATTAAACACCCAGAAGTTGTCAAAAACGCAATGTTTCTGAAACCCTAATAGAACTCGCTACGAATTATTCATGAAGACAGTTCTAGATTCAACAGGAAAATTATTGCCTCGTCAAATATTAATGACTTCTGATTTCTTCGAGGCTGGGGAGCAGGCAGAGGGATTTCTGGCGGTGTGCGAATTTTCCAGGTTGGAGGCTAAGGCCGTTAAGGCGGCGGGA